GCCCAGAGTCCTGAAGCAGGAGCTGCCGGGCCCCTGGGCCAGGGGAGTGGAGGGGCGGGCGGGGCTGCCATGGGCTCGCCGACAACGGGGTTCGCAAAGCGCCCGCGCACCCCCCACCCCAGCCCAGCTGGGCCGCCCCCGCCTCCCCAGCCCGCTGCCGGCGCGGTCCTCACGCTGCTGTTTCCAAATATAAACCCTTCGGCTGTGTCAGGCTCTTTGATTTCTGCGGCTGTCAGGACGTGTTCGCAGGTAAATGTGCCCCAGGTTAGTCTTAGCGAGCTCCCTGGCCGGGGACCAGGAGCACACCTGTCAGGTGCGCCCTCACCCGCGGGAGCGCGCGCGTGTGGAGAGCCCCGCCCAGCCGGAGCGCAGGCCGGCGGGCGCAGCGCCTTCCTGGCGCTCTCGGGGCACTCGCGGTCAGTGCCGGGCAGGCAGGCAGTCCTTCCCTGGGCGAGAGCGCGGGCACCTCCTCACGGCTCCTCATGCGAATCTGGGAAAACGCCGGCAGGGCTGTTCCTCCAGGGCCCGCGGTCCGTGGACAGCAGGGCTGGCGAGCTCTCCTCCCACAGGCCGGGCGTCCGGAGGCCCCAGGACAGGCCACCTCGCCCTTGCGCCCGGAGCCCTTCCAAGCATGCTGCCCAGAGCTCCGAGACAAAGGAGCGGCTCTCGGCCCTTTGCCCAGCGCCCCTCTCCCCTGCACTGGGCTGCGGCCAGCCTCCTGGGCCTGGGGTCTCCGCAGCGTCAGGGCCCCCGACGGGCGGCTGCAGAGACCCCACAGACCCTGAGGTCAGTGCCAGGACACCTGGGTGTGTTTAAAAGCCAGTCTGGACACTAGGCTAGTGCCTGATTCGAGGAGGACACAGCGGCTGGGTGGCCTCCCACTGCCCCTGGCCCACTGTCCTCCACGTGCAGCCCAAGTCCTGGGCCCTAAGCACCCCATTCCCGGACTCTTGACACCTTGATGCCCACAGGTCCCAGGGAGGTGGCCGGACTAGCCGGAGGAAAAAGCCCCCAAGGCCAGAAACCTGCGGGACGCGATGGCCCCGGTCCAGAGGGAGGGCCGAGGGTGGGGGCGCGAGCAGGAGTGACCCAGAAGTAAGGGCGAGAGGTAAACGCAGGGCGACCACGAAGGCCTGGCTGGCCACCCCTTGGTTTGCGGCGCAGGGAGGCCCCGTTCTTCGTGCTTCCGCCTGTGCCTTTCTCCCTTTGAACGCACACGCGCGGGGTGGGGCCCACCTCGCCCGCTGTCCCCGGCAGCGGCGTCCTCAGCCTCAGCCACCGCGGTCCAGGAACGAGATGGCCAGTGCGCCCTGAGCAGTTCTGCGGGTGCCAACCGGTCCCCGGCGCAGCGCTCCCGCGACCTGCGCAAGGTCCGGTGGCTGGCAGGGTCCAGCCTGGGGCAGGTGTCGGTCCCGCCCGTCCCGCTCTAGCCCCGCCCCC